TTTCCAAGCTTCAAACTGATTCAACAATACCAAATTAAACAGCACATATAGATGCACTTAAAAACAACGCACCTGTTGATGAGAACAATAATCGTCGAGCTATTTAGAGATTTTGCTGCAGGGTGCCTAAGCTGATCAAGCAGTAACCCCAATTTTTGACTGGCCTCAATCAACAAGTCTCCAATTTTCAATTGACTGGCCTCAATCAACAAGTCTCCAATTTTCAGAACAGGAGAATAGATATATTCAAATCTGCTTCAATTCCACTAGTGATTGCAGAATCCACTCCACTAGTGATTGCAGAATCTATAGTTTAGGGTTCATAATTTAAGAAATCAGAAATAGATGTACCTTTACTTTGTTTCGTGATGGCGACGAGCTTCACGGTGGACACGAACCCAAGCCGGCGACGATCTTCACGGTGAACACGAAATGAGGCCGGCGACGAGCTTCACGGTGAACACGAATTGAGGCCGGCGACGAGCTTCACGGTGGAGGCCGACGACGAGCTTCACGGTGGAGGCTATGGCGGAGTCGAAGAGACCTCACACGAACAAATCTCTTTCTTCGATTTGGGAGATTTTTTTTTGTTTGGAGATATGTTTCATGTTATAGTAAAGCGAAGGGTTTTAATTTTTCGGGCTTTGGCGTTTAAAATTTTTGGATCTGAGTCAAATGGCGTTTAAGTGAATTATTTCGTCTAAATATTGGGGAACAAGTGATTTTAGCTTCTTTTTTAATGATTTTCTGTTTTAGCATTGTTTTATTGCTATTATATAGTAACTAAAATTAAAATTTTATCTTTCATAGCAGTTGCAGAAAATGAGTTATCATCATGTGCTATCAATGTGAATATTTCTTGTAGTGAAAGGACTAACTAAACATCAAACCTTCAGAAGTAGTAACGTTTTAACTTTAGCTTCAGGAGTCCTATAGTTATTTTTTGATTTTTTTCAAATTTATGTAACGAACTTAAAAAGGATATAAATTATTATATAGAATTAAATTTGAACATGATTTCAATGGCAATGGAGAACTGAAAACAAAAACTGAGGAGGAAAATGTAAAAAAGAGAGTAAGTTGATGATAAAGGTAATTATGTTTTGTGTTAAAAGAAAAGATAATGTTTAACTCAAGGGTCCTAACTTCTAAGCTTAGTCCCCCCTCAGAAAGTGGAAGGCACAGCTTCTCTCATGCAATGATTAGGTTAGCATTCTCTTTTCGATATTTCAAATATTCTTAAAAAATCTTTTTTCATTTTCAAAACATTTCGGTTCCGTATATCTGTTTCCTTTTCCATACGACATAGTCATATAGGCTAAGATATAATACCAATCTATAGGGATGGTGAATGAGTACTTTAGGACGGGTAAGCTGGTTCAAGTAGAGAGATTGTTTCATCAAATGAGTGTAAGATATATTTCGTTGTTAAACTGGAACACAATAGTTCATCGGTATAAGAAGTTTGGTAAATGAGACGATAATGATCTGTGGGTTATACCAGTTACCAGAATGAGAGTAGCGGAGAAGGTCTCGATTTGTTCAAGAAAATGTTAGGGTGTTGCATAAATACGACTTTAAGAACATTCACTTATCAACACAAAGTTCTTGGCTTCATCATCAAGTTAGGATTTTTTCATATGAGCAAAGGATTTACGTAAGGTGTTTGACGAGGAAGTTTCATGAACATGTTGATGTGTGTGCTCTATTGTTAGGGTCTAGTCTGAACGGAAAGCATGAAGATGCCTTTAGGATGGTTTGGTTGGCTTTACTTGTAGGATGCATTCTAGTGTCGATAGAGACGAGAAAGCTGCTTCAACTAGGCATTTTTAATCTAGACTCGGAACCAACACAATTTCTGTCTTGTTCTCGAATATATATATATGCTTTTACTGATAGATGGTTGGATATATGGAAATTGAAAGTTAAGATGAATCATAAGGGGTAAAGAAGAAACCTGAAACAGTTGGGTTGCGTTTAGAGGGAAAAAGCACAAAGTTTTCTTCAATGAGAGTACTTGGAGTTTCTGAGAAAGAGTTGAAGAAACTTGCTATGTTTCTTTTTATAGATTTGCTTTATGTAATGTAAAAGATGAACAGAAGGAAGAGTTATTGTAGGACGTGAGATTGTTTTATGGGATCCGACTTGGTTCATCATTTAAAGAATGAGATGTCTTCATGTGTGAATTATTGGTAGACAAGTACTTGAGAAAATTCCACGGTCGGCCCAAAAATCTGCTCTTACAAAACAAATCAGATTTCAAAAATCTGCTCTTACAAAACAAATCAGATTTAGAAAATTTAAGAAATCACATATTAAAATAATTTTACAACTATTAATTTATTTCTATTGTTATGTTTTTATTTGAGATGAATCTGAAAATAGTTCATAATTTACAAAATTTAAGAAATTACTTTATAAAAACAAGCAAACCATAAGCTATAAAGAGCATATAACAACTACAATTTTCTATGAAAATATGTATATCCATTCCTAGTAATAACAAATATGCTGAAATACTAGAATTAGAAGACAATTTTGATTCTTTTTTATGTAAAATAAGTTGGAAAATAGATATTAAGAAAATAAAATCATGAACAAGCTATTCTTTTACGCTCACAAGATGTTGAAAAGTTTCATCTTCTCTTATTCCACCGCTACTGATCATATCTTCTGTTTTGATCTTTTGAGACTTTCCATGAACTTACGATATCTTTTTTTATTTCTTGCACGCAGTCTTTGATCTCTTTCTTTGTTCGTCTCACTATTATAGTGAGATAACATATGTGCAGCAAATTTTTGAGAGGTGTCCAACACACCATTACATTTAGGACATGTATAGGGACCAAATTTCTTATACGGTAGGCTATGTGTACGACCATCATAATGATCGTCATCATTTTTCTCATCTTTTTCAGAATCTATATAAGAACCAATTTTTTCAAAAATATTGGTTGGTTTGGGAATTTTCTTCAGGGATCGACCAGCTTGCGAAACACGGTTGTGCTTTGATGACAAGGAAACCATGTCTAAATGTTGACGATCAACAAAATCTTCCTGCGGAAACACGATATTTAGAGGGGTAGGCTTCAAAATCCCGGAATGGTTATCAAGAAACTTTGGAAGATGAGATATAGGGTTCCAAGTATTTGTAGAATCCATGGCACGTTTGACACGTTCAATGTCATAGTGGACATTGTTAAATAGATTGGAAGGAACAATAGTTGTATACCTATTTATGATGGTTTGAGTGAAAGATACTTGAGTAAAATGATATTTCTCTTTAGTAGGGAAATAATTGGCACGAGAAATAGAATCAAAATTTCTTTTTGTCATATGTGAATTATTAAATCCAACATAAGATGAAGAGACATGTGAATTTTGATAAGAAGAAAGGGAAGGAGGAGAAGGAAACGAATATCTATGGTTCATGCGATCAGATGTAATGAACATCGAGCGAACCATTTTGGAGTTGTGATTCATTTCGATGGGAAGTGATTCACGATGGTTTGAGGTATCACCACCATAAATATTGAATCTATTTGGGATGGAAGACATTTTGAAGCTTCAAGTGTATCTAAACTATTTCCCTATGTATCCTTTTATATAATTTCTTAAAGTGCAAAAAGGTAATAAATTGAAATTCATGAATTCAAAGTCAATATATATTAGTTAATTTCAAATATGGCGTGTTATTGATTACTTTGAATAACTAATTTTGGCGAGTTATTAATTTTTGTTGACTAGTTAGTTATATTTAAGTATTAAGTTTTGAATTGTACATTCTTTCCTAAAAAAATAGAAGATGCATTTTTAATGTTGACTTTTATCTCTCAAATCTTGTTGGATTTTGAACACATGGTTTTGTGTTTATAATTTTTCTTATTGATAATTAGATTCAAATATTTTAAACATTAATGCTCCATCACATATGTACAGTATACAAGTGCTTAAATTATAGGGGTGATTGAGATTTGTGAAGGACTTTAAAAATTGTAGC